ATTTTCCACTAAAGACATTCAAATTTCTAAATAGCTATTCACATCACTCACATGGTGTTACAATGATTAGAAACATGTCGGTGTGAGGTGAATAGATTTTAATATCTCCAATTATTCCTGTTTTGTTTTGGTCTTATTTATAGGATCATTTTTAAAGTTCTATATACAATATATGATTTGTTACCAACATATTATTAGTTTAATTAATAATTGTTAATTTCAGTAAAATAGATACAATCATTTACAAATTTAATAATATCTGTATTTTTTTAATTCACATAAAATTATGAAAACGGGGGTAGATGTGTATGTTTAGGATTATTGGTGTAATCTATTATCTCCAGCTATTGTAGGTACCAACTCTTGGTGATAGAGTCAGAGTTACGTTCCTTATATTATTGGTTGGTTGTGATTAGTGATTTAGAATGAATGGATTTGCAATTATTGGAGTCACAAAAGTGCACAAATATTAAATAGTTAATTATTTTAGTTTACCTATATTTTCATTGGTTTGAGATATGATTTGGAACACTATTTAGAACAATAGATCATTGTGGACCAGGCCTTTGGAATTGAATTTATAGAAAATGGTCCAAAAGGGATAAGAATAAGATAGACACATCCACCTAACAAAATTGAATGCTACCTAGCTGCTTCTATTCCTCGTATTTTAATTTCCTGCATCAAACTTCCTTCTCTTTTCTTTTCTTATTTTCCTGCTTCTATTCATAAAACATGTATATTTCATTTTTAGGATTGTATTAACGAGTCTCCTTACTGCATTTTTTCTTCTCATTTCGTCTTAGCAATTGCTTGTTTTTATGCTAAACCCTTCTAACTAAAATTTGTACTCAAACTGTTTGCATATACCCTTCAGAAAAGCATTTGATTAAGGTAGAAAAAATCAATAGCGAACTTAAAATGAATAATATTAATAATGAAATATTTAATCTAATGTATTAGACAATGCAAATTGTGATATTGGTTATTAAACTACCTTACTAAAATAACCCAAACGGTTAAGTATAATGTACTGGAATTATTGAATAAGAATTTTATTGACTTGATATTGACGCATATGTGCAGGGAAACAAAAGCATTACAAATTTTTCCTTCTTGGAAAGCAAATCCTGCACTTTTGTACACATCCATGCATGGGAGCAATTGTTTGAGGTTTACAACTTCGTATACCTTAAACAAATGTAGTAGCTAAAACCATTCATATAATTATTAGTTTTACAATTTAGAAATAATCAAAGGTAGAGCCGATAAATTGGATATGTAATAAAGAGTACATTGGAATTTTCACAATTACATTACACAATTATCAACTTGAGTCCATATATAATCGCACCTTCCATTCACACCTTTTAGTTAGTTTTGTCAAATATATGAGTTGCTTATTTGATTTGTTGTGAAATTGTTTTATATACAACCCAGTGAGTTGTTTGATAATATGCAAATGTGTACATAAAGGCCAAAATAATTGAAATAACATAAGAGAAGAGTAATCGTGCAAGATACAATTCTCAAAGGTCCACTAAGTATAAATCATTCAACTTTATTCTTTCTGTTTCTGTTTTTATCCTCATTATTACAAATTAAACATTGAGAAGAGCCGTATTTCTTACACATTGCTTTGTGCATGCTTACAAGTATAAACAACTCAAAAGAAGGCCAATCTCTTCAGTGAATCTAAAAATTTGTGGTCTATTAGTTAAAAATAAGGGTCTAAGGAATTATGGATAATTGTTGGGAGAATGACACACATAATATATGGTTTTAAAAAAACATTAGTTTTAACAGATATAATAGTGATTGCTCTAATAATCAAGGTGGGTTTGTGGAGCCTTAGACTTGGAGTTAAGAGTAAGGTATGATAATGGCGTCAATAAATTAAAATTAAACTCCACTTTAGATATGGCACAGATGTTGCAGACAAGAGAACAGTAATAAGGTAAAACCTTGCAGTTTGTTAATTGATATTCTCAATAAAAGTAACAAAAAATAATAAATGGTAGGAGAGTCTATTATGTTTCAAATTTATTTAGATTTGATTTCCTAGTCTATCCTCTCAGTTATTATCAATGATGGCTGAGCTTCAAAATCAGATGCGACCATTGAGTTAATAAGGGACAAAATGTATGTTGAAGCCTTACATAAAAGAACGCAGTGGCATTAGAACCAAATCATTGAACTTTAAGATTTTATTGACAAATAAATGTTGACATTGAGCATAAGCATATATAGTTTCTCAATCATATGATACAAGGAAAGGAATGACCATAGACATAAAGTCATCATATGAAAGTTTAGCCGAACCAGTACGATGTGTATCTTTCTCCTTAAATTTTTCAGTCAACCCCTGAAAATCCAACAAGTAATACCAATACTTAATCTGAATTCTATGACAATGGAACTTCTTACAAATTCAAATCAACAAATCATCTAAAATGCTTAATCCTTCTTACTTTTTCTCTCCACAAAATGTATGAATGAAAGTTTTAAATATAAATGTATGAATATCATACTTCAAAATATAAATGAAAGCATGAATAAGAAACACAGATGAAGAAATAGAAAAAATGAGAAGCAAAGTGAGCTCTTACCTTGATAATCATCCCACACCTGTACACATCCAACAACACACCATGAGATATATAAATGACATTTTCAAACAGAGTAAACCCCAATATGCTCCTTCAAATATTTTTATGCTAAAAAAGAATAGCAACATCAACTTCATCCTCAAATCATTAATCCATTTTGTCCAAGTAACCAGTAACGCTTGGACTATTTTGATGCAGATGTACTAATATGTTGAGGACCAAAATCATGTTCCAATAACTTTTTCCAAAAAGATTCACAAGAATGAGTGTTTAATGTTTTCAAATAAATAAGATACACATGAAAGATTCAGATAAAAATGTCTTACTCTCAACAAATTGTCAAAACCAAGTTCAACCCTCCTACCACTTCCATCACCATACTTGGAAAGCAAAAGTTGTAGAACTGAGCCTGGTATGGCATAGCCAATACCATATAGAGCATCCCTTAGTTCTAATGGGTCAATTTTCCCACTCCTATCTTTCATATCTCTCAAATATGCCCTACAAGTAAAGTAATAATGTCAGAGACAATTAATTATATGGGACAGAGTTCAATTATAAATCACAAACATTAAATTAAAGTTATTGTTAAAATTCACCAAACAAAATTCATTCAGCACTAGTTCAAGAAAATATTCTCGGAAATATAGGTATGGATACTAGTATTTCTGCTTCTGTAAATAATGAAAACCAATACGAACAAAACACTAACAAGAGAAGTGAATGAGAACAACAATTGCAACACAGTTACATGGTACACACTACACAGAATGTGATTTGATGCAGTTCATCATTTTTTATGTTATTGTTACAAAGCTTTCTTTATGACGAACCCGGTATGTGGTATGCCAAATTCGGTACAACAGTACCTAGGGTAAATGAGAGAACCATGTTACCATGTATTGGAAGGAAAATACCAAGACTCATGCTAGGCACTATCCAAGTGTGCCTATTATTTTCCCTATTAGGAGAAATGCAAGGCCTTAAAAACTATGGTGTTTTGGTTTAGATTAAAAAACAATCTGATTATCAAATACTCTTGACGTCCAAAAACCCAGCTCAAGGAATTCAGTTTTTTCTGCCCCAAAAAATGGTACAAAACAACGTATATGGGTGTGAAACATCTTTCTCTGTTGTAGACTCTTGTTTTAGAGTAGAAACAGCTGTCTTTCCTAAAAAATAATGTGAAGCAAACACCATCAAACACTCCTCAAGAGTCTCATTAAGGCAACTTAAGTGTTAGACATAACCACACACCGGTTAGGTCTGAAACACTATCAAGACTCACAAGTTTAACAAATAAGTCCTAGACTAGACAACATTGATGGGATGATATGGTTAGCAGGATTCAATTTTGACCCACTTCTAAAATGTCAGTGAACAATAGAATGCCAACAGCTTAACAAATTAGTTAAGTCTTTTACTGAAAATGGAAAAAACAATTGGTTATTGCAATGTATATGTGATAGTTTCTTATTTAGTGAAAATGTAAAAAACTTAAATTGGACAAAAATTAAACTCTAAGCAGGGTCAAGGACTCAAGGTTAGTGAAAACACATTCCTTGTTTACAATCAGTTAGAGATGTAGAGATTTTACATTAATACATTCCTTCTTAGAAAATTTTGACAACTAAAAAACGAAAAGGACAAAACGTGAAACATGCATAGGTGTTGGTAGATGAAAGCTGATTACAGTCACAGCATGAGTTGAAAGAAGAACGCAGGTAGTATGTTTTAGGATCCATTTATGTAAGCTTTTTTTTCTTCCAAAAAAGTGATGTTTTGTAAATAAAAAATCACTTGTGAGAGTAGTGAAATTTACATGTTTGTTTGTTGAAAAGCAAAAACCGAAATTCATCTTTTATGACAAGGTATATTCCCAGCTTTTGCAAAGAAAGCTTTTAAAATTACATAAAAGTTACAGAATCAAATTATGAAAACCAGTTATTTTTAAGCTTCAACAAAAAGACCCTTAATATATCTATGTGAATCTTTGAGAATGTGATAATAAAAGTAAGAATGAAAAGAAACTGACTCGCCATTGAGCAAGGCAATTCCAGAGAGCAACAAATTCCTTTGGCCCTGTTAATAGAATAAGAACTTGTAAAGTAACAAATATAATAAAAATGGAAACTTTTTGATTGAATAAAAAGAAAGCGTACCAAGTGTGAGGGGTTGAGGAGGATCCTTGAAAAGGAAGATAAGAAAGCGAATAGTTGCGATATTGAAGTTATAATGAAAGGCAGAAGAGAGAGCTTGTTGCAATTCCTTATCATCGATGAAACCACTTTGATCCCTATCAAACATTTGGAAGGTTCTAATAACATCAGGGTTTGTCCCTTGTGGAAAACTATAAGATGAAGATGAAACTTGTCCATAGTAACCAGTGGCATGGTGGTAATTTGAAGGAGTATTGTTGATGTTAGAATATTGGGGTTGTGGTTGTTGATTGTTTGATCAGGTAAGGATGGGGCAGAGGGAGCATAAGAGGAAGAAGAAGAAGAAGACATAATTGTTGTTGTTACTACTTTCTCTACTCTTTGATTTTTGATTTTTGATTTTGATTTTCTTAATCTTCTATCTCTATATTGTAGGCGGTGTGAATTGATAGGAACGATGACACGTTAAGAAAGTGAGTATGGATTTGCAACGTGTAACTTCCATTCATCTCAATCCATTTATCAAAGGAAACCTTAAAATTAATAATATTCTATTTAACAAGTTATTTATTTTACCACTTTAAGAGGGGTATCCAATTGGATCTCCGCAGATTTTATGAACTCTGTCTTCGTGACTAAGGAATATAAGACTACCAAAGACAATTACTATTGAAATTAACTATATTCACTTTAAACCAATATCAGTATGATAATTATAGGAAATTCGTTTGAGTTAGTTTAAAATTAAAATATGGATTAAATTATATGTATTGGTTAAAAACTATATGGCCACTAAAAATTTCACATTTTTGTAAAATGCACATCAAGGATTTAATTAAACATTTAATATGATAGATATTTCTAACATAACCAGACATTAAATATTTTCATATATTACAAAATACTAATATTTATATTTTTAAGTTTATTATATACATTATAATCTATATCGTATCTACTATATATAAAGTCAAAACATGAAATAACTACAACTATAGTGTAATTTCTATTTTCCTATTTTGCCCTTACATTTTTTAATTTCTACAAAAAAAACCATATAATCCTAAGTAACTACCATTAACACATTAATCACCTATCTCACATTAAATTAAATTATAATAGATACATTTTTTAACATAAATTACTCTTAATACAAAAATATTCTAATTGCATAAAATAAATTATATAAAAATTGAATACTTAATATAATAAAATAAGAATACGAGTCGGCAGACACGAAGTGTCTGTCGACATGCTAGTATAAATAACTGGACTATTTTTTTAGTACTACCAAGAGTATTTCATCATCTTTTGAATAAGAAATTAATTTTTTTCGGGGTGCGTGACTGTCATTCCAACAAGTGTCGCTCATAACAATCGAACCTTTGACTTTTTGGTCATCCTGAGGATCTAGCGGGACCTTATATCACTATACCAACATCTTGTTGGTATAACTTAAGTATTTAACCGGTATACCGTTTAACTATTGTATCACTACTAGAATGATTATATCACATTATCACTATATTAATACTTTTACCGGTAACATATTAATAACACTAACATTGTGTTGGTTTAGAAAATAAAATGGATAGAAAATATGGTGACTTTTAGTTGTTTGGTATGATAGAAAATGGAAGAAAAAAAAATGAAAATAATAATATAATAATTATTAATAATGACATTTTTAGTGTACCACCCTATGAGTAATAAACTAATCATTTTCGTGATGTGTGATTGTCCATCCCAATAAGTCTATCACAAGAATATTAGGAAATTACCGACATTTATAAGTGTGTCTAACACGAAATACGAATTTTTTTAAATGTTTTTAAGGAGTTAGCGACGAGAAAATCTGTCACTAATTTTCTCGGACAAGGATCTATTGTCCCACAATATATCCGAAGACCATGAAACTAATGAAAACATGTTATATCAAATAATTTTTTTTAATATTCATCATTATTTTTTATTTTTTATTCATTGTCATTGGTTTGGGTAGGGGTGAGCAGGACCCGACCCTACCCGCTCACCCGGTATGACTCAATCATGATCGGGTCTGATAGGGTTAGGTCTAGGGCCGGATTCAGGTTAAAAAATTAGACCCAATCAATATTTAGGGGATGGACAGAGACCAAACATGACCCGTCCCGGCCCGTCCCGGTCCGTCCCGACCCGACACATCCCATAGTCATTTACTCTTGATGTTTGTGTATGTGTCTCTATTCAAATGTGTAATGAACTTTTTTGTGAAAAATATCATTGATTTCTAATTTTTCGTCATAAATAAATGTTTAATAATATATATATATACATATATTAATTTTATATGTCAAATTACATATTCACAATAATAAATAATATATTTAGAGAATTTTTATCTAAAAATGATTATACATTAGGTTTATCGAGTCGAGGGTCGGTCCGAATTAAAGTTCTGGCTATGTGAATATTAGGGTCGGGTTAACTTTGAGTCTAGGGCCGGGTCCGAGTTCAAAAAATGACTCGGCCAACATTTAGGACCGGTAAGAACAAACCTTAACCTGTCCCAACTCGACTCATGCTCACCCCTAGGTTTGGGACAGTCGATCCTCATCCAATTTTTCTACTTGTTTTCCTCCATATATGGAGAGAAAACATAATTGCATGAGCCCTATCACTTTTTTTCTTTCATTCATTCTTTTCAATGCAAACCAAATAATCAAAATGATTATTTTCCTCTCACCTTTCTTTTCCTCATTTTTACCCCAACCCAAACATACCCTAAAGGGAAAATTCATATGCATCAATGAAATGTACAAAAATCATATTACATATTACCACATGAATAAAATAAATTTTTTATTAACAAAACGTAACATTTTGATTGGTCAGGATAAGGAAGGAGACACCATCCAAGATTAATGAATGAACACTATTTAAAAAAACGTAATCAATGCAAATATAAAGTTTAGGGAGGAACAACCATTAAACACACACTTCATAGTTCATAGTAAACATCTAAGGAGTAAGGCTAATTGAATCCCGTACTATGTTATGTAGGTTCAATTATGAACTTTGACTTTACCTCCAAAGAAGTTATGAATATAATAGGTGGGAGTAGTGTCATTTCTAAAATAAACAAAAGTAGTGAATCTGACCGGGGATAATTCCTGGGAAACTATATAGTATCCAACCAAAAAACATAACACAAATCCAATACAGTGGTAGCAGAGATGGCGGTGGTTGAGACTGAAATGATACCATTGTTGAAATTGATTTGATAAGGTTAAGAAGAATTGAAAAAATGAGGGCAAAAAAGCATTTTTATACCCTTTTATCCATGTTGAAGTGGAATATATAGTGGCCCCTAGATGTTGAATTAAGATGAAAGCAACACTTGCATCCCTTTTGTTGCACGCGACCACGACAAAGTTTTGGATACACACCAAGGCTTTACAATATATGATAAAAAAATTGAGTTAATGATACTCACGACCCACATATTTCTTCAACTCAACTCAAACCTCTTTCTCCAACACTTTCTTTATACTCCCCATTTGCAAATATCTTATAACATTCTTAAATCACAAAATCTTACTGCTTTCTTTTTTTGTATTCCAAGTTAACTCCTTTTTCATTGCCAGCCATGACCGAAATCCTCCATTCCTCCCTACCCTATTTTGCTTCATCCTCAAGCATCACAGACCACACCACCAACATTAACAACAACAACAACAACAACAACAACAACAACAACAACAACCTCTTCTTCCTACTTCTCTTCATTCTTTCCTTGTTCCTCGTTACCCTTCTCAGCAAATTATTCCTCCATTGCTTGTTGTTGCCCATGGACATAGGCTCCCCAACTAACGTGCGTCACGTTGCGCATGTCACCTTTGATAGGTTCAATGGCTTCCTTGGTTTGCCTCCTGAGTTCGAACCTGACATGCCCACAAGGCCTCCCAGTGCTAGGTATCTTTCTATACATGAAACTTTCAGTATGTCACCTTTGATCAGCCATTTAATCCTTTCACTAATCTAACTTGTGCTTTCATATGTATTGTATATCAGATGCTAGAAGCTTTTTAGATACTATTCATCCATATTTCAATTTATGATTTTTTTCCTTATCAACCTATGTCGTGTACGCATGTTTCCTAGGTTTTTAGCTTATACTTTTGTCATATTTACATACATGTATATCTTAAGCATGTTGTATATCCTATATTTTGTTGTTACTGCTGCATATTTGATCTTTGTGTTACTGCAAATGGCAGACCCTTTCACCGCATTGGTGTATTCAGTTCAAGTGATGAACTTGTTGAAGACACTTATAGCAAGAACAGTGCAGGAAAGAAAGGATTGTGTGGTAGAATTATCTCCTACATTTTATTTACAGCCTTTGGTAGAGAACGCGAGCCATAGCATCTTCCAAGGTACTGCTGCAGAAAATGAAGAGGCTGAGGAAAACATAGTTGCTAAGGAAAGTGCCTTAGATAATAACTCCTCAATTGGAGGAGAAAGTAAGAGTTTGATAAGCTCTTCTGAGACTCCACCCAAAGCAAACATGGCAAAAATTAAGACTGTCCAATCAAGTGTCACAAAAGGATATAAAAAACAAGAAATCAGAAATCTGTTGAGAAAACTGGAATTAGGAGTTTACATTCAAAAGAAGCCTGGAGGTGAAAAAAGCAAAGGAGTGTAAATTGATTATATGAAATTGTTACATTTTAAGTCTTATGCCAATATCTTGTGATTACAATCGTTGTATATTTATCTATAGTTATTTGTTATGCCAATATCTGTAAGTCTTGAGAACTAAGACTAGAATATTGGACGCAGATTATAATGGAGTGTAGGATGGATTCATGTTAAAGATATTGTCTGTATTATTGTGAAAAAGATACAACCATGTAACATTTAATTTGGTGGTCTCTTATGATGTTGAAATTGCATGGTTTGAATGCAAACCTGTACTGTGTTAATTGCTAAAACAGCAGGATCACATGACTATATGCACATATAAGCATGCCACGTTACCTGGGCACATATGAAGTGCTTAATTAAATGTGATATTTCAAAGATTGGAGTTAAGGGTGTACAATACAAATAGTCTTAGATACACTAGCTGGATGACACCATATAAATAAAGTTGTGGTATTTTTCTCCTATTTCCTTCCTTCTAAGGGAATGCTGAATCTTGATGCCATCTGCACTACCAACCTCACACTCACAGTTATACCTTTTTTTATGTATATTTATTTAGGTAGAAAGCCTTAAAGGTTCAACATTTGTTGTCTGACTCAGTTTGTGTATTATACCATATATTAGGTCTTTGTTTTGGAAAAATACCATGCCATCAACTTATTTCCGTCATTGGGATAAAGGTTAACTGTAAGGTTGGATACCCTTCTGATACTCCTAAATAAAAAACATTATTGCAAATTAGATAAATGAAATAATTGAAGAGAAGGAAATGAATTTGATCTCTACACCTATACTTTATTGATAATAATGTATGAATGTAATATGTATCCACCGTAAGACTTTGGTGACTTGCATGAGTTGGCCACTAACCCAGTCAAGTTTGAACTCTATCTTATATTTTGTTGCCTAA